ACAACAGTGTGGTGGCTTGTACACACAACAGTGACTGGCTGGTAGTGTACAGGTACACAAGTGACTGGCTGGTAGTGTACAGGTACACAAGTGACTGGTGGCTGGAAGTGTACTGGTACACAAGTGACTGGTGGCTTGTAGTGTACAGGTACACAAGTGACTGGCTGGTAGTGTACAGGTACACAAGTGACTGGCTGGTAGTGTACAGGTACACAAGTGACTGGCTGGTAGTGTACAGGTACACAAGTGACTGGTGGCTGGTAGTGTACAGGTACACAACAGTGACTGGTGGCTGGTAATGTACAGGTACACAACAGTGACTGGTGGCTGGTAATGTACAGGTACACAACAGTGACTGGTGGCTGGTAGTGTACAGGTACACAAGTGACTGGCTGGTAGTGTACAGGTACACAAGTGACTGGCTGGTAGTGTACAGGTACACAAGTGACTGGTGGCTGGTAGTGTACAGGTACACAACAGTGACTGGTGGCTGGTAATGTACAGGTACACAACAGTGACTGGTGGCTGGTAGTGTACAGGTACACAAGTGACTGGCTGGTAGTGTACTGGTACACAACAGTGACTGGTGGCTGGTAGTGTACAGGTACACAACAGTGACTGGTGGCTGGTAGTGTACAGGTACACAACAGTGACTGGTGGCTGGTAGTGTACTGGTACACAACAGTGACTGGTGGCTGGTAGTGTACTGGTACACAACAGTGACTGGTGGCTGGTAGTGTACTGGTACACAAGTGACTGGTGGCTGGTAGTGTACAGGTACACAACAGTGACTGGCTGGTAGTGTACAGGTACACAACAGTGACTGGCTGGTAGTGTACAGGTACACAAGTGACTGGCTGGTAGTGTACAGGTACACAAGTGACTGGTGGCTGGTAGTGTACTGGTACACAACAGTGACTGGTGGCTGGTAGTGTACAGGTACACAACAGTGACTGGTGGCTGGAAGTGTACAGGTACACAACAGTGACTGGTGGCTGGTAGTGTACAGGTACACAACAGTGACTGGCTGGTAGTGTACAGGTACACAACAGTGACTGGTGGCTGGTAGTGTACAGGTACACAACAGTGACTGGTGGCTGGTAGTGTACAGGTACACAACAGTGACTGGCTGGTAGTGTACTGGTACACAACAGTGACTGGTGGCTGGTAGTGTACTGGTACACAACAGTGACTGGTGGCTGGTAGTGTACAGGTACAGAACAGTGACTGGTGGCTGGTAGTGTACAGGTACACAACAGTGACTGGTGGCTGGTAGTGTACAGGTACACAACAGTGACTGGTGGGTTAGTGACTGGTGGCTGGTAGTGTACAGGTACAGAACAATGACTGGTGGCTGGTAGTGTACAGGTACACAACAGTGGCTGGTGGCTGGTAGTGTACAGGTACACAACAGTGACTGGTGGCTGGTAGTGTACAGGTACACAACAGTGACTGGTGGCTGGTAGTGTACAGGTACACAAGTGACTGGCTGGTAGTGTACTGGTACACAACAGTGACTGGTGGCTGGTAGTGTACAGGTACAGAACAGTGACTGGTGGCTGGTAGTGTACAGGTACACAACAGTGACTGGTGGCTGGTAGTGTACAGGTACACAACAGTGACTGGTGGCTGGTAGTGTACAGGTACACAAGTGACTGGCTGGTAGTGTACTGTTACACAACAGTGACTGGTGGCTGGTAGTGTACAGGTACAGAACAGTGACTGGTGGCTGGTAGTGTACAGGTACACAACAGTGACTGGTGGCTGGTAGTGTACAGGGACACAAGTGACTGGCTGGTAGTGTACTGGTACACAACAGTGACTGGTGGCTGGTAGTGTACTGGTACACAACAGTGACTGGTGGCTGGTAGTGTACTGGTACACAACAGTGACTGGTGGCTGGTAGTGTACTGGTACACAACAGTGACTGGTGGCTGGTAGTGTACTGGTACACAACAGTGACTGGTGGCTGGTAGTGTACTGGTGCACAACAGTGACTGGTGGCTGGTACTGTACAGGTACACAACAGTGACTGGCTGGTAGTGTACTGGTACACAAGTGACTGGCTGGTAGTGTACAGGTACACAAGTGACTGGCTGGTAGTGTACCGGTACACAACAGTGACTGGTGGCTGGTAGTGTACAGGTACACAACAGTGACTGGTGGCTGGTAGTGTACAGGTACACAACAGTGACTGGTGGCTGGTAGTGTACAGGTACACAACAGTGACTGGCTGGTAGTGTACAGGTACACAAGTGACTGGCTGGTAGTGTACAGGTACACAAGTGACTGGCTGGTAGTGTACTGGTACACAACAGTGACTGGTGGCTGGTAGTGTACAGGTACACAACAGTGACTGGTGGCTGGTAGTGTACAGGTACACAACAGTGACTGGTGGCTGGTAGTGTACAGGTACACAACAGTGACTGGTGGCTGGTAGTGTACAGGTACACAACAGTGACTGGTGGCTGGTAGTGTACAGGTACACAACAGTGGCTGGTAGTGTACAGGTACACAACAGTGACTGGTGGCTGGTAGTGTACAGGTACACAACAGTGGCTGGTGGCTGGTAGTGTACAGGTACACAACAGTGACTGGTGGCTGGTAGTGTACAGGTACACAACAGTGACTGGTGGCTGGTAGTGTATTGGTACACAACAGTGACTGGTGGCTGGTAGTGTACAGGTACACAACAGTGACTGGTGGCTGGTAGTGTACAGGTACACAACAGTGACTGGTGGCTGGTAGTGTACCGGTACACAACAGTGACTGGTGGCTGGTAGTGTACTGGTACACAACAGTGACTGGTGGCTGGTAGTGTACAGGTACACAACAGTGACTGGTGGCTGGTAGTGTACAGGTACACAACAGTGGCTGGTGGCTGGTAGTGTACAGGTACACAACAGTGACTGGTGGCTGGTAGTGTACTGGTACACAACAGTGACTGGTGGCTGGTAGTGTACAGGTACACAAGTGACTGGTGGCTGGTAGTGTACAGGTACACAAGTGACTGGTGGCTGGTAGTGTACAGGTACACAACAGTGACTGGTGGCTGGTAGTGTACTGGTACACAACAGTGACTGGTGGCTGGTAGTGTACAGGTACACAAGTGACTGGTGGCTGGTAGTGTACAGGTACACAACAGTGACTGGTGGCTGGTAGTGTACAGGTACACAACAGTGACTCGTGGCTGGTAGTGTACTGGTACACAACAGTGACTGGTGGCTGGTAGTGTACTGGTACACAACAGTACACAACAGTGGCTGGTAGTGTACAGGTACACAACAGTGGCTGGTAGTGTACAGGTACACAACAGTGGCTGGTAGTGTACAGGTACACAACAGTGACTGGTGGCTGGTAGTGTACAGGTACACAACAGTGGCTGGTAGTGTACAGGTACACAACAGTGGCTGGTAGTGTACAGGTACACAACAGTGACTGGTGGCTGGTAGTGTACAGGTACACAACAGTGGCTGGTAGTGTACAGGTACACAACAGTGGCTGGTAGTGTACAGGTACACAACAGTGACTGGTGGCTGGTAGTGTACAGGTACACAACAGTGACTGGTGGCTGGTAGTGTACAGGTACACAACAGTGACTGGTGGCTGGTAGTGTACAGGTACACAACAGTGACTGGTGGCTGGTAGTGTACAGGTACACAACAGTGGCTGGTGGTGTACAGGTACACAACAGTGACTGGTAGTGTACAGGTACACAACAGTGACTGGTAGCTGGTAGTGTACAGGTACACAACAGTGGCTGGTAGTGTACAGGTACACAACAGTGGCTGGTAGTGTACAGGTACACAACAGTGGCTGGTAGTGTACAGGTACACAACAGTGACTGGTGGCTGGTAGTGTACAGGTACACAACAGTGGCTGGTAGTGTACAGGTACACAACAGTGACTGGTGGCTGGTAGTGTACAGGTACACAACAGTGGCTGGTAGTGTACAGGTACACAACAGTGACTGGCTGGTAGTGTACAGGTACACAACAGTGACTGGTGGCTGGTAGTGTACAGGTACACAACAGTGGCTGGTAGTGTACAGGTACACAACAGTGGCTGGTAGTGTACTGGTACACAACAGTGGCTGGTAGTGTACAGGTACACAACAGTGACTGGTGGCTGGTAGTGTACAGGTACACAACAGTGGCTGGTGGCTGGTAGTGTACTGGTACACAACAGTGACTGGCTGGTAGTGTACAGGTACACAACAGTGGCTGGTAGTGTACAGGTACACAACAGTGGCTGGTAGTGTACAGGTACACAACAGTGGCTGGTGGCTGGTAGTGTACAGGTACACAACAGTGGCTGGTAGTGTACAGGTACACAACAGTGGCTGGTAGTGTACAGGTACACAACAGTGACTGGCTGGTAGTGTACAGGTACACAACAGTGACTGGTGGCTGGTAGTGTACAGGTACACAACAGTGACTGGCTGGTAGTGTACAGGTACACAACAGTGACTGGTGGCTGGTAGTGTACAGGTACACAACAGTGACTGGTGGCTGGTAGTGTACAGGTACACAAGTGACTGGCTGGTAGTGTACTGGTACACAACAGTGACTGGTGGCTGGTAGTGTACAGGTACACAACAGTGACTGGTGGTTGGTAGTGTACAGGTACACAACAATGACTGGTGGCTGGTAGTGTACAGGTACACAACAATGACTGGTGGCTGGTAGTGTATAGGTACGCAACAGTGACTGGCTGGTAGTGTACAGGTACACAACAGTGACTGGTGGCTGGTAGTGTACAGGTACACAAGTGACTGGCTGGTAGTGTACAGGTACACAACAGTGACTGGTGGCTGGTAGTGTACAGGTACACAACAGTGACTGGTGGCTGGTAGTGTACAGGTACACAACAGTGACTGGTGGCTGGTAGTGTACAGGTACCCAAGACTAACTGTGAGAGCCGCCCATGAGAGCACACACACCCTCTAGCGGCCACTACGGCAAGCACAAGATGTAAACAAACCCCAACTTTCCCGCCAGAACTTCTTCCTGGCGTCAGCGGTGGACCGGACGCGCCAGAAGGTGTCGCAGGTGGCCGAGAGCCTCCTCACCCACGCTGAGACCTACTTCGAGTACGACCACTTCCTCACCTTTCCCCAACCTTCCAACCCTTGGCTCTCTGACGACCTCACCTACTGGACCCTCAACGACTCTATGTAAGTCACAAAGATCTCGCCAATATAATACAAATGAAATATATCCATGGATGGTGGTTAATGCTTTTTGATTACTTCTCAACTGTTGTCTTGAGGTTTCTCTTGTAAGTCCTGAGATTTTACCCAATTATTCTTGCGTGAAAGGTAATTTGAAATGCTATGTTTATGTTGATCATTAAACTAGCAATATAAGGCTCATTAGTGACCAGAAGTAGTGATCTTTAGTACACTTCTCAGAGTGAACTGGAGTAATGTTGTTGTTTGTATAAGAGAACGGGACACCATACACTGACTTCAGGAACACCATACACCAGAAAGACTTGAACACCATACACAGAAAGACTTGAAGAACACCATTCACAGAGACTTGAAGAACACCATACACAGAAAGACTTGAAGAACACCGTACACAGAAAGACTTGAAGAACACCATACACAGAAAGACTTGAGGAACACCATTCACAGAGACTTGAAGAACACCGTACACAGAAAGACTTGAGGAACACCATACACAGAAAGACTTGAGGAACACCATTCACAGAGACTTGAAGAACACCGTACACAGAAAGACTTGAAGAACACCGTACACAGAAAGACTTGAAGAACACCGTACACAGAAAGACTTGAAGAACACCGTACACAGACTTGAAGAACACCGTACACAGAAAGACTTGAAGAACACCATACACAGAAACTTGAAGAACTACACAGAAGACTTGACACCATACACAGAAAGACTTGAAGAACACCATACACAGAAAGACTTGAAGAACACCATAAACAGAAAGACTTGAAGAACACCGTACACCAGAAAGACTTGAAGAACACCATACACAGAAAGACTTGAAGAACACCATACACAGAAAGACTTGAAGAACACCATACACAGAAAGACTTGAAGAACACCATACACAGAAAGACTTGAAGAACACCATACACAGAAAGACTTGAAGAACACCATACACAGAAAGACTTGAAGAACACCGTACACAGAAAGACTTGAAGAACACCGTACACAGAAAGACTTGAAGAACACCGTACACAGAAAGACTTGAAGAACACCATACACAGAAAGACTTGAAGAACACCATACACAGAAAGACTTGAAGAACACCATTCACAGAGACTTGAAGAACACCATACACAGAAAGACTTGAAGAACACCGTACACAGAAAGACTTGAAGAACACCATACACAGAAAGACTTGAGGAACACCATTCACAGAGACTTGAAGAACACCGTACACAGAAAGACTTGAGGAACACCATACACAGAAAGACTTGAGGAACACCATTCACAGAGACTTGAAGAACACCGTACACAGAAAGACTTGAAGAACACCGTACACAGAAAGACTTGAAGAACACCGTACACAGAAAGACTTGAAGAACACCGTACACAGAAAGACTTGAAGAACACCGTACACAGAAAGACTTGAAGAACACCATACACAGAAAGACTTGAAGAACACCATACACAGAAAGACTTGAAGAACACCATACACAGAAAGACTTGAAGAACACCATACACAGAAAGACTTGAAGAACACCGTACACCAGAAAGACTTGAAGAACACCGTACACAGAAAGACTTGAAGAACACCATACACAGAAAGACTTGAAGAACACCATACACAGAAAGACTTGAAGAACACCATACACAGAAAGACTTGAAGAACACCATACACAGAAAGACTTGAAGAACACCATACACAGAAAGACTTGAAGAACACCACCGTACACAGAAAGACTTGAAGAACACCATACACAGAAAGACTTGAAGAACACCATACACAGAAAGACTTGAAGAACACCATACACAGAAAGACTTGAAGAACACCATACACAGACTTGAAGAACACCATACACAGAAAGACTTGAAGAACACCATACACAGAAAGACTTGAAGAACACCATACACAGACTTGAAGAACACCATACACAGAAAGACTTGAAGAACACCATACACAGAAAGACTTGAAGAACACCGTACACAGAAAGACTTGAAGAACACCATACACAGAAAGACTTGAAGAACACCATACACAGAAAGACTTGAAGAACACCATACACAGAAAGACTTGAAGAACACCGTACACAGAAAGACTTGAAGAACACCGTACACAGAAAGACTTGAAGAACACCATACACAGAAAGACTTGAAGAACACCATACACAGAAAGACTTGAAGAACACCATACACAGAAAGACTTGAAGAACACCATACACAGAAAGACTTGAAGAACACCATACACAGAAAGACTTGAAGAACACCATACACAGAAAGACTTGAAGAACACCATACACAGAAAGACTTGAAGAACACCATACACCATAAGAACACCATACACAGAAAGACTTGAAGAACACCATTCACAGAGACTTGAAGAACACCATACACAGAAAGACTTGAAGAACACCATACACCAGAAAGACTTGAAGAACACCATTCACAGAGACTTGAAGAACACCATACACAGAAAGACTTGAAGAACACCATACACAGAAGAGACTTGAAGAACACCATACACAGAAAGACTTGAACTCATCAACGACACATGGGTGAGTCACTGACTCTCTAAGATCAACGACACATGGGTGAGTCACTGACCTCTCTAACTCATCAACGACACCATGGGTGAGTCACTGACCTCTCTAACTCATCAACGACACCATGGGTGAGTCACTGACCTCTCTAACTCATCAACGACACCATGGGTGAGTCACTGACCTCTCTAACTCATCAACACACCATGGGTGAGTCACTGATTCCTCTCTAACTCATCAACGACACCATGGGTGAGTCACTGATCCATCTCTAACTCATCAACGACACCATGGGTGAGTCACTGACCTCTCTAACTCATCAACGACACCATGGGTGAGTCACTGACCTCTCTAACTCATCAACGACACCATGGGTGAGTCACTGACCTCTCTAACTCATCAACGACACCATGGGTGAGTCACTGACCTCTCTAACTCATCAACGACACCATGGGTGAGTCACTGACCTCTAACTCATCAACGACACCATGGGTGAGTCACTGACCTCTCTAACTCATCAACGACACCATGGGTGAGTCACTGACCTCTCTAACTCATCAACGACACCATGGGTGAGTCACTGACCTCTCTAACTCATCAACGACACCATGGGTGAGTCACTGACCTCTCTAACTCATCAACGACACCATGGGTGAGTCACTGACCTCTCTAACTCATCAACGACACCATGGGTGAGTCACTGACCTCTCTAACTCATCAACGACACCATGGGTGAGTCACTGACCTCTCTAACTCATCAACGACACCATGGGTGAGTCACTGACACCTCTAACTCATCAACGACACCATGGGTGAGTCACTGACACCTCTAACTCATCAACGACACCATGGGTGAGTCACTGACACCTCTAACTCATCAACGACACCATGGGTGAGTCACTGACCTCTAACTCATCAACGACACCATGGGTGAGTCACTGACCTCTAACTCATCAACGACACCATGGGTGAGTCACTGACACCTCTAACTCATCAACGACACCATGGGTGAGTCACTGACCTCTCTAACTCATCAACGACACCATGGGTGAGTCACTGACACCTCTAACTCATCAACGACACCATGGGTGAGTCACTGACCTCTAACTCATCAACGACACCATGGGTGAGTCACTGACCTCTAACTCATCAACGACACCATGGGTGAGTCACTGACACCTCTAACTCATCAACGACACCATGGGTGAGTCACTGACCTCTAACTCATCAACGACACCATGGGTGAGTCACTGACACCTCTAACTCATCAACGACACCATGGGTGAGTCACTGACACCTCTAACTCATCAACGACACCATGGGTGAGTCACTGACCTCTAACTCATCAACGACACCATGGGTGAGTCACTGACCTCTCTAACTCATCAACGACACCATGGGTGAGTCACTGACACCTCTAACTCATCAACGACACCATGGGTGAGTCACTGACCTCTAACTCATCAACGACACCATGGGTGAGTCACTGACCTCTAACTCATCAACGACACCATGGGTGAGTCACTGACACCTCTAACTCATCAACGACACCATGGGTGAGTCACTGACACCTCTAACTCATCAACGACACCATGGGTGTCACTTATTTTAGATTCAGCTACTCAGAACGAAATGTCCATGTAGCACGGGCTAAGGCGACCCCGAAACCTTATAAATGTATCAAAATAATATATATATAGCGTCTGGACAGGTGTGGTGAGAAGTGACGGAGATTATCCCGTTAAGATGACAGTCCTGCTCTCCCATTGGTCGTCTGGGACAGTGGTGAGTCACCAATTGGCTGTTTAGTCTTTGGTCTTGCTGCAACCCGTTCTCGCACTTTCGTATAGTCAATATTGACTTATTAAATACGTAATTAACTTATACCTATAATAGGTTAAGTAATATTTGTAATTACGAAGCAATAAGATGCTTATCTTAACATACTAAGAAGGTTAGGTGAGGTCGGTGTTTTCTATGAAGCTTTTCAAGGTAAACTAAAATATTCACAATAAATTAGTATGTCACATATGCACTTATTAAATAAGTCAATATTGACTGTAAGAAAGTGCGAGAACGGGTTGCTTGCTGAAGGACGAGCTTAGTCTGTTATTTGTATATCTGTCTGTTATCTTGGTGTTTGGTGATCAGGTTATCTTGGTAGTGGTGGGTTGGTTGTGAGGTTAAATGATATCTTAAATGGAGTGATGTTGTGTGAGTTTTAAGATATCTTGAATGGGTTGTCCTTCTGTCTTTATATTGAGAGTTTATGATATTAATTTATGCAGGCGATGAGTCACAATACAACCCGTTCCCGCAAATTCGTAAAGTCAATATTGACTTATAAAATATGTGCATAGGTGACATACTTAACATAATAGATACCCCTAAAAAGATTCATAGAAAACACCGACCTTACCTAACCTTGTTAGTATCTTAAGATAAGCATCTTATTGCTTCGTAATTACAATTATTACTTAACCTATACCTATTATAGGTTAGGTAATAATTGTAATTACGAAGCAATAAGATGCTTATCTTAACATACTAAGTAGGTTAGGTAAGGTCGGTGTTTTCTATGAATCTTTTTAAGGGTATCTATTATGTTAAGTATGTCACCTATGCACATATTTTATAAGTCAATATTGACTTATTAAATTTGCGAGAACGGGTTGCACAATAACGTGGCTAAAGTATGTTGACCAGACCACACACTAGAAGGTGAAGGGACGACGACGTTTCGGTCCGTCCTGGACCATTCTCAAGTCGATTGTCATGGACTTGACAAGACCATTCTCAAGTCGTTTCGGTCCAGGACGGACCGAAACGTCGTCGTCCCTTCACTTTCTAGTGTGTGGTCTGGTCAACAAATCCAAATTTGTATGTTTGAGCAAATAGTTCGTATATGTACTATAATGTTATGAGGACGAGAGCTTCACTAGCACTATCTTGAGGTTATCTTGAGATGATTTCGGGGCTTTAGTGTCCCCGCGGCCCGGTCCTCGACCAGGCCTCCACCCCCAGGAAGCAGCCCGTGACGGCTGACTAACACCCAGGTACCTATTTACTGCTCTAAGGCATATTTGTGTATTAGTTACTCCTGTATTTACAAGAATGTAGTAAGGGAGCCGAACTTGGTCTTGTCTTAGAAGTAACTCCTCCCAAGAGTTTCACTTTCTCGACGATTACTCTCTCATCAATATCATCATTTATAACTTATAACCTTATAAGAGGGCTATAAGTTCACTTATAACCTTGTTAGAATAAGCTACGGCAAGTTGCCGTGTCCTTGAGAGCCATGGTGCACCAGAATGAATGTCCTTCAAAACTAAGTTAGGTTATGGATAACTTAGAGCAAGCTTTAGTGAGAGGTGCACAGGAACATTGACCATAACACAGGTTATAAGTGCGTTTAAGTCCACAGGTGAGACAATAACACAGGTTATAAGTGCGTGTGTGTCCACAGGTCAGACAATAACACAGGTTATAAGTGCGTGTGTGTCCACAGGTGAGACAATAACACAGGTTATAAGTGCGTGTGTGTCAACAGGTGAAACAATAACACAGGTTATGAGTGAGTGTCTCCCCACAGGTCAGACAATAACACAGGTTATAAGTGCGTGTGTGTCCACAGGTGAGACAATAACACAGGTTATAAGTGCGTGTGTGTCCACAGGTGAAACAATAACACAGGTTATGAGTGAGTGTCACCCCACAGGTGAAACAATAACACAGGTTATAAGTGCGTGTCTCCCCACAGGTGAGACAATAACACAGGTTATGAGTGAGTGTCTCCCCACAGGTGAGACAATAACACAGGTTATAAGTGCGTGTGTGTGTCCACAGGTCAGACGGAGTTCACAGCCTACCTGAGGAAGGAGTTCAGTCATGAGAACATCCGCTTCTGGCAAGCTGTCAATGAACTGAGGTGGGGCCCGGCCGCCAGCGTCGCTGACAACGTCAGAAACATCTTCGAGTGAGTAATCACCTTTGTTGTTGTGGTATAATTAGTGTAAGTGCATCGTTAAGATGGCTGAGGTACAAGACGCTGGCAGAGAAGACTACATACTACCTGCACCTTGCCCCCCACGGCTCTCTAACACCCACTAGGGTTTTGTCTTAGGCTTTCACTAATCTTGATCTTAGAATATTGTTAACAGGAATACAAGTAACTCTTCAGAGAATATTAAGATAAGCTGCGCTACTCAACACAACTTGCAACTTAAACACAACAATATTTACACTTCATCCCTTGGACGAAGTGTAAAGTCAACACTCAACACTTAATTGACTAATTAATTACGTTAATACTTATAATGACAATTACGTTACTTCACTGCCAACAACAGTCAGCAACAACCACTTACGTTAACTTAATCATGTCTCCTACAGTCAAGTCAAACTGTCACAACTATCACTCGTAACTGGCCATTACACAGACATGTGATCCGTCAAGCATTCAGTGAGGAATCCCCTTAATTACTGTACTACGGACAGCTAATTAATCCCAGCACAAGTTACGTTATCAGATACTATCGCCCATTTGATAGTTTACTACAATTCTATGTCCAAAGTGGCATGAGGACGGCAATTACTCTGTGACGTTAATGGCTGTACTTAATTAACACTGAATCCTTCGACTGCCATGACGACCACATTTACAGCCACCAAGTACTCTGCCCAGTGACCAGTTCACCCACGACACATTAACACAACACCCAGTGATAAAAAATAACTATCTACGGGCTCACCATAGCCCGTGCTACTTGGAACGTTTTGTTCCAGGTAGCGAATCTTTACCAACAACAACAACCCAGTGATCTAATAAACCCCAATTACAATCACCGCCCAAACAATTGCATTCCGCTTGCAATGACAATTCCCGTATTTCTCCCCGTGTGCCCAACCACACACTCCGCTGCACACACACACACTCAAGCCCACCCTTGACTGTCAAGACGTCTAATTAGGAGAAATCACACACACACACACACACACACACACACACACACACACACACACACACACACACACACACACACACACACACACACACACACACACACACACACACACACCACACTTCCCCTTCACCTACCAGCTGGTGCTTAGAGACAATGCTGGCGGACTCCGTGACCTCGAACCAGGTGTAGAGATAATCACCAATACAACACAAGGGGATGCACTCAATCAGGCCGGCCTACAGGCACACTACCACATGTAACACACCAAGCTGAACCACCGTAGTCTCCAAGATCAGCGGGGCTGGGAGTGGCTTAGGGTGTAGTGTATCACGGCACAGAACAGTCCGTATGTGCCCTCAGGTGCTGGCTCCGTCCCTGCCTCAGGGCGAAACAACCTGCTTGCTTGCGGCAAACACGGTGAGCGACAATGTCCAACACTTGCACCGAAATTCCCACGAATTTCTGGTTGAAAACTCCCGCTAACACTGATGAGTTTTCCCAGATGTCTCCACTGCTAAGTGACTCAAGCAGAACAGGTGATGACTGATGATGACTGAAAGGGAGCCGGTCGGCCGAGCGGGCAGCACACTGGACTTGTGATCCTGTGGTCCCGGGTTCGATCCCGGGCGCCGGCGAGAAACAATGGGCAGAGTTTCTTTCACCCTATGCCCCTGTTACCTAGCAGTAAAATAGGTACCTGGGTGTTAGTCAGCTGTCACGGGCTGCTTCATGGGGGTGGAGGCCTGGTCGAGGACCGGGCCGCGGGGACACTAAAGCCCCGAAATCATCTCAAGATAACCTCAAGATGACTGTATGTGTGGAGTGACGACACAGTCAGTTACCTCTGCACGTGTGCTTACACTCTCTTATTTTACAGTCTGATACACTTTCCTGTTATTACAAGCAAATATGACGACTTCCCGGTTTCTGTTCGTTCCCTACGGACACGTGTAGATATCACCAGAATATAGAGAGTATTTAGTTGCCACAACAGACGATAATTTCACTTGGTGGCCTGGTTGATACCTGGTTGATACCTGGTTGATGGGGTTCTGGGAATTGTTCTACTCCCCAAGCCCGACCCGAGGCCAGGCTTGACTTGTGAGAGTTTGGTCCACCAGGCTGTTGCTTGGAGCGGCCCGCAGGCCAGGCTTGACTTGTGAGAGTTTGGTCCACCAGGCTGTTGCTTGGAGCGGCCCGAGGCCAGGCTTGACTTGTGAGAGTTTGGTCCACCAGGCTGTTGCTTGGAGCGGCCCGCAGGCCAGGCTTGACTTGTGAGAGTTTGGTCCACCAGGCTGTTGCTTGGAGCGGCCCGCAGGCCCACATGCCCACCACAGCCCGGTTGGTCCGGCACTCCTTGGAGGAATAAATCTAGTTTCCTCTTGAAAATGTCCACGGTTGTTCCGACAATATTTCTTATGCTCGCTGGGAGGACGTTGAACACGTCCGGACGTTGGCCGACCAAGAGAAAATTACATCTAGCTTGGAGTAGTGGCAAGGGCAGAATGGCGCCTTGGGCCCAGGGTGGGAAGATGCTTGCTCACTGGTCCTACCTCAAGCTAACCAATCAGAGCGTCGCGCACCTAGGGCTAGATGCCGGAACCAATCACGTCTTCCCCTCGGGGTGACACTAAGGCTCTCACGTCACGGCATCACACTTGGTTCCCATAGGGACGGATCGGACAACTGCTTCCGCCCCGGCCGTCCTCTCGCTCACACATCTTACAGTACAACTGCTGCACTCTACAACTATTTCCACAACTGCATTGCAACAGCCATTGCAACATATTTGGAATTGTGATGACCTAGGCGCTCCAACAAGCCTAATCACAAGATGTCTCGTGTACAGGGGCCAGATTCACGAAAGCACTTACGAACGTGTACATCTTTCATCAATCTTTGACGGCTTTGATAACATTTATTAAACAGTTTACAAGCATGAAAACTTGCCAATCAACTGTTGTTATTGTTATAAACAGCCTCCTGGTGCTTCAGAGCTCATTAACCGTTTAATAATTGTAAACAAAGCCTCCAAAGATTGAGAAAAGATGTACAGGTTCATAAGTGTTTGCGTAAGTGTTTTCGTGAATCTGGCCCCATGGGTGGAAGATTTCACCAGCTAAATCTTCCACTGCCTCTAGTGGAAGATTTACCTGCTGAAATCCTTACCCTCACAGCGGATAAATATGAATTTAATTCGAATAAAGAAGCTTCAGTATAGTGAACTTAGAGCTTTGTGATATAGGTGGTTGTAAATTATATTTTGGGAGCGACCTGGGAGCCCCAATTAGTGCTCCCCTGCCTTACATGGACCAGTAGGCCTACTGTAGTGTCCCTGCCTTACATGGACCAGTAGGCCTACTGTAGTGTCCCTGCCCCACATGGACCAGTGCACCTACTGTAGTGTCCCTGCCCCACATGGACCAGTAGACCTACTGTAGTGTCCCTGCCCCACATGGACCAGTAGGCCTACTGTAGTGTCCCTGCCCCACATGGACCAGTGCACCTACTGTAGTGTCCCTGCCCCACATGGACCAGTAGACCTACTGTAGTGTCCCTGCCCCACATGGACCAGTAGGCCTACTGTAGTGTCCCTGCCCCACATGGACCAGTAGGCCTACTGTAGTGTCCCTGCCTTACATGGACCAGTAGGCCTACTGTAGTGTCCCTGCCTTACATGGACCAGTAGACCTACTGTAGTGTCCCTGCCCCACATGGACCAGTAGGCCTACTGTAGTGTCCCTGCCCCACATGGACCAGTAGGCCTACTGTAGTGTCCCTGCCTCACATGGACCAGTAGACCTACTGTAGTGTCCCTGCCCCACATGGACCAGTAGGCCTACTGTAGTGTCCCTGCCCCACATGGACCAGTAGGCCTACTGTAGTGTCCCTGCCTCACATGGACCAGTGCACCTACTGTAGTGTCCCTGCCCCACATGGACCAGTAGGCCTACTGTAGTGTCCCTGCCTCACATGGACCAGTAGGCCTGTAAGTCCCTTGCCCCACATGGACCAGTAGACCTACTGTAGTATCCCTGCCTCACATGGACCAGTAGGCCTACTGTAGTGTCCCTGCCTCACATGGACCAGTAGACCTACTGTAGTGTCCCTGCCTCACATGGACCAGTAGACCTACTGTAGTGTCCCTGCCTCACATGGACCAGTAGACCTACTGTAGTGTCCCTGCCCCACATGGACCAGTAGACCTACTGTAGTGTCCCTGCCTCACATGGACCAGTAGGCCTGTAAGTCCCTTGCCCCACATGGACCAGTACACCTAACTATAATGTGTCCATGGTGATAGTTGCTAACATGAACAAGGTGCGGCAGAAGGAAGGTCAATACAAAGGAGAAGTGTTGCAGGGAGTTCCTGAAGCCCGGGGCGCCTTGTGAGATCAACATTGACGGCAAGACGATGGAACAGACGCAGCTGATGATGATGAAGCAGCCGTCGCGCTACACCTACGACCTGGCCGCCGAGCACGTCTACATCCTCCTCCTGAAGAAGGACTGCTACCCGCGCTTCCTGCGCTCCGAGCAGTACAAGACGTTGCTGGCTAACGCCGTCCAGCCCTCACAGAAGAAGAGGTGAGCTACAACCTCTCAAGATGGGCTTTATTTGTTGTTTTTTGGCTTCTTTTGGTTGCTATTTTCTTAACTTTGGTTTAAGCATTCATTAAACGTTTTGTTTATTTCATCGCCAAGTAATAAATTAATTTTTTAATTTAATGTGATTTTGATCACGGGATAAATGTGCTTGGTTTATATAATTTCGTCCACATTCAATTTCCTTCGTCATATTTTCCAGTATTTAACTTGTTATTATGAGCACTTCCAGCCAATAATAGTCTTTAGCATTTTTGTATTACTGTATGTAAATTGGCGCATTTTAAAGATTCCTAGCTATTTTGTCATGGTCAATGTCTGACAGTATTCCAATGACTTTTAAAACGGACTTTCCAAAAAACATCTTTAATTAGTTGACCTAGTGTTCAGTGTTTTTTTTATAACTATGCTTTTTAGTTTTTCAAGTTTAGTGTCTCGGCTTAAGCGGCTTTATCTCATGTTCCCCCCTCCGGCTGTCGCTGGAGCACACACTGCTCTTCTTTTCACCAACTAATGGGCTGTTTTAATGTTCTCTTTTTTCACCAACTAACGGCTGAATTCTTGCTGTGCGCTTGCCCCGTCCCCCGCCGACTCTGGCCGTGACATGTCCGTCGTCACGTCAGGCCCAACTCTATGCTGGTGCGCCTCATGGCTCCATCACTGATGCTAGCCCCGGGGCCCGAAGGCCGCGTCGGTTTGCAGATGTACGTGATGCCCCGCTCCCCGCTCCTCAACCCACCACTCCACCCACTCCCTGCCTGCTACCATTTAATTTACATTGCCTCGACCCCCCCCCCCCATTTGCCCTAAATTTCCTTTAAACAGTTGAATGTACTGCGTTGGCCATTTCTAACAGTCCCGTGAAATCTCACTGCCTGTAGGCCGCCACCTGTGCGTATGAAACTTGATTTGGCCATTCATACTTATTAGCAGTGCCTGGAGATGCAAAGGCTGCTATTAGCGCTGCAAACGCTCTTGTTAGCTGTGAGTGCAATACTATTGCTTTGTTTGTGAAATTTTAATTTTCTTACGCCAGCTTCTAGTATATATAATGCTATTCATAATCTCATGGAAATTGTTGACATGTATTTCAGTATCCGCTGACGGCACGCGTCTTCTGGAGAAACGTAGTTCAACTACTTAGCGCTTTGCTTGCTTGGGCTGTTACCTTGAGATGCTGTGTGTGTGTGTGTGTGTGTGTGTGTGTGTGTGTGTGTGTGTGTGTGTGTGTGTGTGTGTGTGTGTGTGTGTGTGTGTGTGTGTGTGTGTGGAGCGCGTGAGGGAACACCAGCAACCCGTCCTCTTAAAATAACGTCACTTTTCGCTGGTATGTGCTTTATGGCCAAAAATGGATGTTATTCGAAATGAAATCAGCTCACAAAAGTGACGTACTGTCCCGTTTTCTGTTTTGAGTCCTCCGGCTTACTCTGTTAGGTTAAGAGAGGAAACTTTCAATTAACGGTTTTCATGACGTTTTGAAACGTTATGAGAACTTCCTGCCCACCTAACCTACCAGAGGACCCTTAACTTGCTGTTTTGGAAAAACAAATTCAAAATTTATTTTCAATTAATTATCATTTCCAAATTACGTCCATTTTCGGCCTTACGGGCAAATGGCCAAATTCCAACGTAATTTGTAAGAGGACAGGTTTGCGTGGTTGTAAAGTTCTGTAAATGAGGGTCTCTCGGATATTTATGATCAAACTAATTTTCAATGAAATGTTGTGGTTACAGTCTCTGAGGTCGCTGTAACCGGCCTGTTGGGCAGTTTGTATTGCACTGATACATGGCTTGTGTGGTATAGCAAGCATACATGGGGAGGCACTCACAATATTGAGTGTATCTCACGTTGTTAAGTTTGTGAGTTCATCACTTGTATCAGGCTTAATGGGTTGTACAGTTCAGATGTAAGCCTTCCCTCCACCGTCTGAAGCAGGTGTGTGTGTATGTGTGTGTGGAGCCTTTCTCAACACCTGTAGCATATATTATTATTATATGCTACAGGTGTTGAGAAAATATCTTCTCTGTCTCTCTATGTCTCTCTTGCTCGCTCTCTCTCTCTCTCTCTCTGCTCGCTCTCTCTCTCTCTTGCTCGCTCTCTCTCTCTCTTGCTCGCTCTCTCTCTCTCTCTTGCTCGCTCTCTCTCTCTCTCTTGCTCGCTCTCTCTCTCTCTTGCTCGCTCTCTCTCTCTCTTGCTCGCTCTCTCTCTCTCTTGCTCGCTCTCTCTCTCTCTTGTTCGCTCTCTCTCTCTCTTGCTCGCTCTCTCTCTCTCTTGCTCGCTCTCTCTCTCTTGCTCGCTCTCTCTCTCTTGCTCGCTCTCTCTCTCTTGCTCGCTCTCTCTTGCTCGCTCTCTCTCTCTGTCTCTGTCTCTCTGTCTCTGTCTCTCTCTCTGTCTCTCTCTCTGTCTCTCTTTGTCTCTCTCTCTCTCTCTCTCTCTCTCTCTCTCTCTCTCTCTCTCTCTCTCTCTCTCTCTCTCTCTCTCTCTCTCTCTCTCTGTCTCTCTCTCTCTCTCTGTCTCTCGCTCTCTCTCTCTGTCTCTCGCTCTCTCACTCGCTCTCTCGCTCTCTCTCATAGGGAAAACATGGCAGAGAGAGAAACTCGGGGTGACAAACACAGGTGGACAACCATGGCAGGAACAAGCTCAGAGGAAAAGGAGGAACAGGAAGTTAGGATTAACGGACACAATCGAGCACATGTGGAGTGAATTCAGGGAAGGACTGAGGGCAATGAAGGAGACAGTCTCCAACCTGCAGGAAGAGCTGAAGGCAGCAAAGGAGGAAATAAAAAGCCTGAAAGAGAATCCTACCCAGCACCAGACGCAAACCATCCCACAGGGAGATGGTAATGATCCTGTTGAGGGGAATCTTACAATACAACCCTCATTTGCAGAATTGTTTAAAAAGAATCTTGAAGCTTGGTCTGCAGTAAGGGAAGTTGCCATGGAAGTGGTTTCTTCTCAGGAAGCAACTAGATGTTCTAGCCGGCTGATAGAGAGAAAAAGAGCAGTAGTAGTAGCAGGCATTAAGAAGCAAACAGGGACCAGCCCAGTGGAGCAGAGAGACAAGGACAAAAACATAGTTACTGAGATCCTTAAAGAGGTACAGATGAAGAGGGCTGACCAAAATATTTAAAAGATTTTCAGGCTTGGAAAGTACAACAAGGACAGAGACCGATTGATAAAGGTGGTATTCATGAGCGAGAACACGAAAGAGGACCTCTTAGCAAGGAAGAGCGGTTTAGCAAATGTACAGAAGTTCAAAAAAGTATTCCTGTAGAGGGATATGACAAGGGACGAGAGTGTGAGGGCAGCAGATGTGAGCAGAGAGCGCAGGGAGAAAGAAAGGAATCAGAGAACCACAACCCCGAACCCTACAATCCCAAAGGGAAGTGAGGAACCCTCCACAAACAATTCAACAGCCACAGGGAGTGGAGCACCACCCCCACATTCTACCCAGTAGATATCCTACCTGCCCCATCCCCTGACACCCTTCCCCCACTAAGTGCTCCCCCTAGGGCACTCTCCCCTCACTCACGCCCTTCCCCAGGACATCCCTTCTCCCCCACCACCCAAGCCTTCCCTCATCGCACATGCCCTCCCATTCCCCCCCTTCTCCCCCATCCCCCCAAGCCCTTCCTCCTCCCCCTATCCCCCCAAGCCCTTCATCCCCCCCATATCCCCCAAGCCTCCCAATCTCCCACACCCCCCAACCATCCCCCTCTCACCCTCTCCCTATCACCCACCCCCAGCCCTTCCCCTCTCACCCACCCCCCCAAACCTCCCCCTCTCATCCTCCCCCCAAACCCTTTCTTCTCCTCCACCACCCCAAGCCCTCCGTCCTCCTACCCCCCGCACACCCCATATCCCACAGGTTACCCCCAGAGGAAGGACAGAAGAGAGTCAGTTTCAGGGTGATGTACTCGAACATAGATGGGATTACAAGCAAGACAAGTGAACTAAGGGAAAGAGAACAAGAAGTGAACCCAGATGTAATCGGACTCACTGAAACAAAACTCTCAGGAATTATAACGAATGCTGTTTCCCCACAGGAGTACACAGTAACAAGGAAAGAGAGGGAAGGTAGGGGAGGAGGCAGAGTGGCCCTACTAATGAGAAAGGAATGGAGTTTCAAGGAGATGGCTATCCCGGGCTGCGAGGGTTTCAGAGACAACATAGCAGGCACCATGACAATGGGAGGACCAAGAATAGTAGTAGCAGTAATACATAACCCTTCACCAAATGACAGAAGACCCAGTCAAGATTGCTTTAGACAACCCCAGGGCTAGAAAATCGGGGTCCAAGAACTATAGCTCGATCCTGCAGGCACAAATAGGTGAATACACACCTGCTTCAGATGGTGAGGGAAGGGTTATGTAATCATGGTGACCCATTTTGCATGTGTGAAGCAGGTGTGTGGACTCTCTCAGCACTTACAGCAGGTGTGTGGACTCTCTCAACACTTACAGCAGGTGTGTGTGTGTGTGGACCTTCTCTCAACACCAGCAGCAAGCGTGTAAACCCTCTCTTAGCACCTGTAGCAGGTGTTTGTGCACCTACTTTCATCTCTTGGACCAGGTGTGTGGGGGGTTCCCCCCTGTCAACACCTGTGACAGGGTGAATATGGGCCCCTCTCTTAACACCTGTTTCCATTTGTTTGTTGCCTCTCTCGACATCTGTCGGGTATATTTATGCGGTTTATCCCTCACCCTCGGCAGCATATATGTGCTTGTAGCCCCCTCTCTCACCCTCTGTAACAGGTGTGTATGTAACCTCCCTTCCCCTCCCTCCTCCTATCCCTCCCATCCCCCTGTTGATATTACAAGTGTGCCTCTGCCTAAGCACCTGTAGCAGCGGTGGGTGGTGTACACTATTCCCGGCCCTGACTTGCCCACACCACACAATGGTCATACCTCTTACACTGATCACTCAGTATATAGGCCTAGTTTAGTTAAGTGGGATGGGAAGGGGGACTCTGCTATTTATGGCCTTAATTGCAAATTGCACTTTTTTAATGACTTAACCGTAGTGGATGACGAGAATGTTTCACTAGACGAGGCTTAGAGCACCTCATGATTTATGTACGAGCATGTGTGCTATAGCTGCCCCTATGGGTCTGTGAGAGCATGTGTGCTAGAGCTGCCCCTCTGGGTCTGTGAGAGCATGTGTGCTAGAGCTGCCCCTGTGGCTCTGTGATAGCATGTGTGCTAGAGCTGCCCCTGTGGCTCTGTGATAGCATGTGTGCTAGAGCTGCCCCACTGGCTCTGTGATAGCATGTGTGCTAGAGCTGCCCCTGTGGCTCTGTGATAGCATGTGTGCTAGAGCTGCCCCACTGGCTCTGTGATAGCATGTGTGCTAGAGCTGTCCCTGTGGCCCTGTGCTTGATTACTCGTGTACTCTGATGTTCACTCATCAGCCTGACTGCCAGTTTAGTGAACAGCCTATCCAGCATGTTGATATTGTGGTGGATAGGCTTCCCCGGGACGACTGCCAGCCTGATAAACTAACTGCATGCTATGCAGGCTGATTGCCTGTTCAATTGGCTGACTAATCCGTTGACTTTCTCCTTAGCAGACTGACCTGATCAGCATGTTGACTGCATACTTAGCCGATTGTTTGCCTAATTACCAGATTTACTAACTACTCAGCTGGAGTACTGTCCACGTAAGTAGGATAACTCCCTGTCTCAACCACATGACTTCCTCTACA